AAAAAATAGAATAGAAATATAGAATAGAATTCAATAGAATATAAATGGAACAATATAAATAGAAGAGAAACAAACTGAAAGAATAGAATAGAATATAAATGGAACAGAATAGAAATAGAAACAGAAAAAATAGAATAGAAATATAGAATAGAAATATAGAATAGAATTCAATAGAATATAAATGGAACAATATAAATAGAAGAGAAATAGAAACTAAGAGAAAAGAATATAAATGGAACAGAAGAGAAATAGAAACTGAAAGAATAGAATAGAAATATAGAATAGAATTCAATAGAATATAAATGGAACAATATAAATAGAAGAGAAATAGAAACTAAGAGAAAAGAATATAAATGGAACAGAAGAGAAATAGAAACAGAAAAAATAGAATAGAAATATAGAATAGAATTCAATAGAATATAAATGGAACAATATAAATAGAATATAAATAGAAACAGAAAAAATAGAATAGAAATATAGAATAGAATTCAATAGAATATAAATGGAACAATATAAATAGAAGAGAAACAAACTGAAAGAGAAGAATAGAATATAGAAAATGAATGGAATACAATAGCATAAAGAAAATGAATAAATAGAATAGAATATAGGAAATGAATAGAACACAGAAAATGAATATAGAAAATGAATGATGTTACATAGTTTGGAAATGAAACGTCTGCAAGAAAACCACCAAGCTCAGAGAGCACCAAGGACCCCACAGTCGTTGTCCTCCCTGCAAACCCCTTTCCTAGCATTGATGATGTTATCTAGTTTGGTAATGAAATGTCTACAAGAAAACCGCCAAGCTCAGAAAGGACCAAGGCCCTCCTCATTTCAACCCTGAGCTACAAATATTCTCCTTTACTGATCATTTTTATTGTTTTTTAAAAAAACATGGGAGTGTGGCACATCCCTAGGAGTTTCCGCTCACACATTACGCCCGTAAATTTATTTGCTTCCAATGAAGCTGCCAACTCGGGTTGAAAACTCGGGGTAAGAAAACCAAGGACGCACACGGCCAAGAACAGTAACTTCTTTATTAACGCTCTACTTCCAGGCCGAAGCAGGATGCGCTCACATCCCCCAAATTTAAACTTTGGCAAAGAAAGATCACGGACAAAAAAATAAAATAGACCACGGTAAAAATGCCACTGGGGGGAACAAGCCTCTTCAAACGGATCTGTCAGGGAAAGTCCCACTTGGACTGTTTTGGCTAGAGTTGGGCGTCTGTCCCAAAAAAAGGCCGGAATTTGTGGCTTTTCCAAAGGAATCTCACTTTTTCACTTCTCCCAGATCTTCGATGCTGTCATCGTCCACCTGCGGCACAGAAGTTCAAACGTGTTTATTACATGAGAAACAATCGCATGGAAATGAACTGAGTGGCTTGACTTTGAAAGATTATTAGGGGGAGGAGGGGAGATAATTAATTCCACGCTTTACCAAGGGAAGAGTCAATCAGTCAAGAGATGATATATTCCCATGCCCAACTAGTTTTAACAAAACTAGTTGATGTTGTGGCCTGCCCGCAGCCAGAGTAACTGGCAGCAGATTCGGGCAGTGAGGAGGGTTGGGGAAGAACCTGGGCCAGTCCTGGAGTCTGGGGAAGGCTCTGATGTGTCGGAGGCAGAGAGGGGGCCAGGGACGTATGCCAGTTATCAGCTGCCTTCGGAGTCAGACATCAGTGAGGCAGAAGAACAGCTGGAGCCTGTTCCCAGTGTGCGCATGCACAGGTTAGCCAGATGAAGGGAACGGCTAAAGAACAGGGGACAACTTGGGAATGGACGATGAATGGCTCCTCCCAGAGGGAATAAATAGGAGCGAAAGGGGAGTTGAGTTTGCAGGAGACCATTAGTTCACTTCATTGGTTCGTGACTCTCCGAGACTCCTTGCCAATTTCTGCAGATCTCCACCTGGCAGCTCTCCAAGCCAGAGAAGGTCTGTGACCGTAAATCCTCCCTTGAAAGGACTTTGCTGGAGGTGAATGAGCCGAATTCCCTCAATTAATAAAAGGGTTTTTTGTTGGGACCAGGAGTTGGCTTCAGGCTCTTGGGAAGCCTGGATCAGAACAACTGAAGACGTGGCATGCGAGGAAAAGAGATATGGGGAGGGGAAAGGAACAAAAACTAGCTTGATCCAAGCTTGACATTTTTAAAAATCTTTTCGCTCCCCACCTCTCTTTCCTCTTGCCTCTCAAAATATCTGAGCCATTTCCCTCTCTCATCCCCTGATCTTTTATTATGGGATACTTTTTAGGGAATACAGGCAAAAAAAAAAAAAATCTATCGATATGGCTGCTTAATGGAATGCAATCGATCCATTGCAGCCAAGAGTCAACCGTCGTAGCAAATTAACATCACACAATGTCGGTTTCTAATTCCCCACCAGGATATTATTTTTATCTTTACAAGCTCCACTGCAAAGTCCTAAATGCAAGGGAAAATCCACTTTAATTAAAAAGCTCCTTTTTTAAAAAAACAGAAAGCCAGTCCGATGAGGTCCCGGCGTATTACCTCGGGCCACTTTTCCTGAATCACTTCGATGATGTCGTCTGTGAAATCTCCCTGAATAATTATTTCATCCTCCCCAGTTACCGACGCCCCACAGGAAAACTTCTGAGCAAAGAACCTTTGGGCCTCCTTAAGATCTATTTCTGTTTGGAGAGACAAGAAAAAGAAATGAGAGATCAAGAGACGGATTCTTACTTATTAGTTTCTAAGGCCCAGGTTTTTCAAAATCGGCAATGTTAAAAGACGGGTGGATTTCAACGCCTAAAATTCCCCAGCCACTTATGTTGTGCTGGCTGGGGAATTCTAGGAGTTGATGCCTTTGTTGTTGTTAGTTGCGATGTTGTGTCCGACCCATCGCAACCCCATGGACCACGTTCCTCCAGGCCTTCCTGTCCTCTCCCATCCTCTGGAGTCCATTNACCACCTTTGGTGGGAAGGGAACAGCGTTCAGTGCGCCTTCGGCGTTGAGTCATGCCGGCCACATGACCACGGAGACGTCTTCGGACAGTGCTGGCTCTTCGGCTTAGAAACGAAGATGAGCACCGCCCCCTAGAGTCGGGAACGACTAGCACATATATGCAAGGGGAACCTTTACCTTTACTTTTAGTACACTATTGTGATATATCAAACACCCCTGACCAATTCTGGGTGAATCTGTGCATCCTGAAAGGTTAACCTGTAACTTCAGTGTCATTTTAATATTTCACATTTCCCTACCTGGAAGGGACTGGAAATATCCAACGCAGAATTCATCAGGTTTCTGAGATCAGAGCTGCATCAAACAAGCCAACTTCATTTCAGGTGTAGCACAGATGCAAAGCAGAGATACTTTTATTTATCCGGTGACTTTTTTTGTTTTGTTAATATATAGACTTTTTAATTTAGGGTTGATTATAATAGTCTTAACGCGAAACAAACTGAAAGAGAAAAAAAAAGTCAAAAGTGCAAGGGATAAAAAGAGGAAATTCACTGTATAAATACACAGTAAATACACACAAACACACATCCAGGCAGGTGAAGCCATTTCTACACACAAATCCCTACATTTGTTGTATGATACACATTGATAACACACTCAAACCCACAGACACTTAACCCCAGGCCTGAGGAGAAGAGGGTGCAGCTGGTACATTGTTCCAGGGCCCATGGAGCTCAGAAGGGGAAATTAAAAATAAATAAATTACAAAACCAATTTTTTTTTTAAAGAAAAACAATATTGGATATATACTTCAAACTCTATACTTTGTTTGACATAACCTCCATTAATCCGAAACCCCAGTGATCAGCTATTTATGCCACTGATTGAATTTTAATTGCATTACTTATTTATTTAAGTTTGCAAGTTTTGTTTCATTCTGTTGATGAGTATATTTTATATTTCACCTCCGTTTATGAATGTTATCTCCAAAACGTTATATCTCCAAAACGTTATCTCCAAAATCTGGTGCTCAAAAAAACCGCTGTACGATGTAAATGTACAATTAGGGCATCATGGATCGATGTGCCCATGTGTAGGTGTGGGAGTCCATTCTAGTCGTGTTCCAGCATTTAATAATCCTCTTGGGGGCCATGCTTAACCCACATCGACACAGGGAGAGGTCCACTCTCACCTGAAAACACACAACTTTTATTTTTTTGCCTTCACTGTGAGTTGTATTATGTTTGGGGAGGGGGTATGCACTGAGGGAGCTCAACCAATCTCATTGTACATATGTTGTGCACTGACAATAAAGAATGATTAACTCTACATTATCTACATGCTACTTAGACACTGATAGATACACACACACACACAAACACCGTGTGAAACCGCTTGCAGGAATACCATCCTGAAAATACACCAGTTGAGAGATGAAAAGAGATAACCACCACAGAAAAGGAAAGGAAGAGAGGAGGAGAGGAGGAGAGAGGGAAGGAAGGAAGAGGAAAGGAGAGGAAGGCTGGAAGGGATAGAAAGAGAAGGAGAGAGGGTAGGAAGAGGAAGAAGAAGAGAGTAGGACAGAGGCAAGGGAAGAAGGGAAGGGAAAGGAGAGGAAGGAAGGAAGTAGAGAAGGGAGGAAGGAAGAAAAGAAAGGAAAAATAGGATGGTGATAATACAAATTAGGTGTATGGGATGGTAAACACAGCAACCGATAAAGTACATTTTAACCTTTTATATGGAAAAACAAATGTGTAAGTGATAAATATAAAAAATGAACTATTACTATGTGAATGGATACCTGTAACTGTATGTAAGAGATTAAAAATAAAAACTTTTTTAAAAAACCCCAAATACCCAGTGTGAACCCGCTTGTGGGAATACCATCCCCAAAATACACTAGTTGAGAGATGAAAAGAGATAACCATAACAACAGAAAAGGAGGAGAGGGAAGGAAGGGATAGAAAGAGAAGGAGAGAGGGTAGGGAGGGGAAGAGGAAGAGGGGAGTAGGGGAGAGGTAAGGGCAGAAGGAAGGGAAAGGAGAAGAGGAAGGAAGGAAGATACAGGTGAGGAGAGGAAGATGGAAGGGATAGAAAGAGAAGGAGAGAGGGTAGGAAGGGGAAGAGGAAGAGGGGAGTAGGGGAGAGGTAAGGGAAGAAGGGAAGAGAAAGGAGAGGAGGAAGTAGAGAAGTGAGGGAGAAAAGAAAGGAAAAATAGGGTGGTGATAATACAAATTAGGTGTACGGGATAGTAAACAAAACGACCCAGAAAGAATATTTTAACCTTTTATACGGAAAAACAAATGTGTAAAAGTGATAAATATAAAAAAAGAACTATTACTATGTGAATGTAACTGTTATGTAGGAGATTAATAATACAAATTAGGTGTACGGGATGGTAAACGAAACGACCCACAAAGTATATTTTAACCTTTTATATGGAAAAACAAACGTGCAAAAGTGACAAAAGGTAAAATAAGAACTGTAACGAGGTGAACGTATAGCTGAAACTGTATCTAACAGTTAAAAATAAATAAATTAAATTTCTTTTTAAAAGACCTAAAAAAAATACCCAGAGTGAACCCACATCTTCACACGCAGAGACCCACCATCCCACTACACCCTGCCTCCCACGCCCACGCGGGAGAGCCACACGCGTGTACACGCAAGGGACGCCCCCCCTACACACACAGACTGCTACACTCGCGTTCCAGGAGCTCCCACCCCCGCCGGGCCCCTTCCCCGTCTGGGCTCCCCATGGCGGCTGCTGCTCCTGCTCCTGCTCCTCCGGCCGAGGACAACCTGAGCGGCGCTTACCTGTCCCGGCAGCGGCGCGGAGGAGGGGGGAGCTGGGGCGGACCGGAGGGAAGACCGCAGAGCCTGACGTCCGCGCCAGTTTCAGTCTTCGGGAGTTCGCCCAGCGCTGAGGGCGGTTGGCGCCGCCTTGGCGGGGATTCTCGGCTGCCCCATGGCGGGTTCTTTTCCTCTCTCTCGTATAATCCCACCCGAAGGAGCTCCGTGGGACCCTCCCCCGTTAAGCCCCCCCCCCCCCCCGCCCA